AGCCTCAACACAGCTTGTGTCGAAGAATGTTGGCGAAAAACGTTGCTTTTATAATCGTCATAGATGACATTTATGATGTCTATGGTAGTCTTGATGAGTTGGAAATCTTCACTCATGCTGTTGAAAGGTTAGTCATATAGTAACTTATATATAAATTTAACTTTATCGTTTGTGATTTTGAATTTTGATTTCTTATATTGTTATAAAAATTCAGATGGGATATAAAAGCAATGGAGCAGCTTCCAGACTACATGAAAATATGTTACCTTTCGCTCTTCAACACTACCAATGAAATGGCCTATCATATTCTCAAACAACAAGGGATTAATGTCCTGCCCTACCTCACAAAACAAGTAAAATTACAATCTTCCCTTCTTTTATTTTCAATCTTTGAGGCACAACCAATTATGGATTCAGAATTTAATTATAACACAAAATTGATTTCATCTAACATTGGCCTCTGCCCCAAATCATTCATATTATTTGATACAAGTTACTTTTAATTAGTGGACAGATTTATGCAAATCATACTTGCAAGAAGCAAAATGGTACCACAATGGGCATAAGCCAAGACTAGAAGAGTACATGGATAATGCATGGATTTCAATTGCAACTCCTTTGGTATTACTCCATGCATTCATCTTTCTCACCAATCCAATAACCCAAGAGGCATTGGAATCCTTGAACAATTATCCAGACATAATTCGTCGGTGTGCTATAATTAATCGTTTCGTCGATGATTTGGGGACATCATCGGTATGTTTTCTTTATAATTCCTCTCATATTAAACTTCTGATTACTATTTCTATTTAAATCTTTGTTCTTGTTAAATTAGGATGAATTGAAAAGAGGTGATGTTCCCAAGTCGATACAATGTTACATGAATGACACGGGTGCTTCAGAAGAAGAGGCAAGAGAACACATCAATTTATTGATAAAGGAGATGTGGGAAGTGATGAACAAAGACCAAATTAGTAAACAAGTGCTATTTTCGGAAGAATTCATTAAGATTGTGTTTAATTTTTCAAGAACATCACACTGCGTGTATCAGCATGGAGATGGGCATGGAATTCAAAATTCTCACATAACAAATCGGATTTCCAAATTACTCTTTGAGCCTCTCATTATATAATTAATTTCATAGTGTCTAACTATTCAATAATACCAAAAGCCAAAAAAAAAAAACTCAGCTTTTCATGATCTAATGGGCATTCTTTGTGACTTTTCATCAGATACAAAAAAGTATGATAGTGATACGTATTGGACTTTGTCGCCTATCTGTAACCATTTAATTTGGTAAGTGGCTGACCCATTTTGGCTTATTCGTCCATTTTTTCTTTTATTTTTATGTTCGACTAAATTCAAATTTATGTCAGAAAATCCTGGACTAAAGTATTCTTAATAAATACAACTCTATATCTAAAGAGACTTAAATTCTAGACGTTTTATTGGTAAATCCAGTCCTAACTTACCTAAATAATCTCTTTCCCAATTGAGTAAGTTGGTACCTTACGTTTTTGTTATTGGTAATAGATTGGTTCATTTTTTTTTTCTTAATAATACGTATTAATCATTTAATTTTGTGAGTTGTAGCCATTTATTTTGGCAAGTGGCGGACCCAATTATGCATGTTCTATAGTGTACGTACGCATGTGCTCGATCGTTTCCTTTTTCAAGTTGTAAGATTTACGTTACCTTCATTACATATGGACGATAGGGAACCATAATTATTTTTTTATTTTTCTTGAATAATTTCTCTTTCTTTGTAGAAATAAAATACAAAAATATGTAACATTTGTTAAAAATAATGTATTATGTATACGTACCTCTTTTAAGATATCGAAATAAATCAAAAATATCATATAACTGTGAAAATGAACAATAATGCCATCAACCAATGATTTCGTACCAAAATACCTTTACAATCAGGAATATTATTTAACTGTCTAATAATATCTTTGATTATAACACTTTCCTTCCGTATAAGTGTTTACACCAAGTCTATGCAATTTTCATTATTACATGTTTTAATGAGTTATAAATTGAAACACATAATATGCATGTATTGACTTGGTGTAAACACCTGATACGCGTAAGTTTTAGCCTGAGACAGTGATATTTTCCAAAATTAATATGGTGCCGAATGGATTTCTCTCTGCAAATTCTATACCTACTTTTAAGTTCAAATAGAACTTTAATTTCATTTTATGATTTCATATTGCATGGCCACACCGATTCGTAATGGTTGGCAATCTTGATATAAGTACTATAGTAATTTTTTAAAAAATGGAATTTAATCATTCCCCACTAACTTCTTTTTCTTTGTGGGAATCAGTAATCACCTTACACAATAATAATATTTCTTTTAGTTTTGGTAGCCAATAACTTTTCCACTTAGTATATTATCTAAGAATATCATCATTATTATAAAACATCATATATATTATTGAACAAGGCAGGGATGATCACCTCAGCAACATCACTACTAGCGTGCTTCTCTATGAATCCTGTTACTATCCGACGTTCCGCCAATTACAAACCTACTACCTGGGATTTTCAATATATTCACTCCGTTAATAATAATTACGCGGTATATTTTTTATTTTATTTTATTTCTACCTACATAATATATGAAATGTTTTTTATCATTCTGATATTAATTAATTAACTTTTGCATTGCGCATAGGGAGATATGTATATGAAGCGGCTTGATTAAGTGAAGAAGGAAATGAAGAAGAACTTAATGATGCTGGCTGATGAATCAATAGTACAAGAATTAGATGTTAAGTTGGAGTTGATTGATAATTTAGAAAGGCTTGGAGTGAGTTACCACTTTAACGATGAAATTAGGCAAATATTTGTTGACACCCAATTTTTGATCCGCGTCGGTATAAATTAATTATCGAGCTTCGTGAGTTTTTCAAATTATTTAAGCTAATTAGTTTTATAAATCTTGCGATAATTAATATATATATATATATATAAATATATATATATATATATATATATATATATGTATGTATGTATATGTATATATGTATATCTTAAATTTAGAAGGTATTCTATTAAACTAGTTTACTTTAAATCACAACTATATTTTGAATCATTATTTTTACAATTTAAATAGTTATGTTACTAAATAAATAAGCTCGTTAATAAATTTACACCAAATTCATTTTCGTTTTAACTCAATTGGCTATTATTTAAATTGAATTCCCTTTACATTTTAACAAGGATAAATTACTTAAATACACACTTTTATTTTTTATAATTTTCATTATTCCCTACTATTTTAAAATATCTCCAAAATCCCTTATTTTCCTTTCAAATCCCATTGTTCTAGATACATTAAGTTTCACATTCAAGCACACGTTTCTATTCCTAATTTTTCTCCCTTAATCCCTCCCTATTTCACTCCCTTTAACCTCTTCCTATTTTCACTCCCTCAATCTTTACTTCTTTTATTTTTTAATTTTCAGATTTATTCTCTCTCCATAAGATTTTTCAAGAATCAAGTAAGTTTTCGTTTCACAATTTTTTTCGAAGAACTACCAGATCTCTTCCATTTCCACATTTTTACAAAATATATAAGGAAAAAGTGAAAGAGATGATGTATCCTCATTGCTCCTTGCAACATCATCGTTTCCAGTGATGTCTTTTGTTGATGAAATCATTTTCCATTGTTGACAGTGAGACAAAGATACAGAAGTTGGTATAGAGCAAAGTAAAAGTGTAGGGGGATTTCTTGGTCATTTGTATTGTTGATTTATTTTTTTGTACTTCATCCTTTATAATACATATGATTTCATATTTAATATATCTAGTTGATTTTGTTTCTTAAACTAATGTATAATGTCTTCGTTGATTTTCAATGTAACTCGTTGTTTAATCGATGTATTGATACATGTATTAGATATGTACCAAATGTTATAACGTTTAGTCAATGCACTGATACATGTAGTATATATGTATCACATGTTTTTCATGTAGTATGAATTTTCTGAAAACTGATATCATGTATCGGTAAGGTATTAGTTGTTTAGTTGATGTACTGATACATGTTTTGAAAATTGTTATAATGTATCATTCACTAAGTTTAATAACTGCGTCATCAACTGTGCTTGATGATACATATAGAATCAGTGTGTATAGTGTTTTGTCGATGCACTGATACATGTATTAGATATGTACCACATGTTATAATGTTTAGTCAATGCACTGATACATGTAGTAGATATGTATCAACAACGATAGAAAACGAAATTGAATCTCCAACAACGATTCCGTCGATTTTGTAACTTTCATACTGCAATTCGTTCACCCAAATTCCGGAATGTCTCATCAAAATTGAAGTATTCATCTTGAAAAATCAACAGTAACAACAATAAAATTACTGTAGTTCGAAATTTAACAGATTGTTCATAAAAAATGTATTCAAACTAGATGATATAATCTTTGATTTTTAAAATTTGAAATTAATATCCAATTACGTGCTGAATTTATGCTGATTAATGATCTGTTACCATAAAATAAGTTGTTTTACTAACAACATTAAATTTACCGTTTTTTCTCCATTTTTTTCTCAACAGTTTAAACTTACCATGTATCATTTACCATGTACCACTAGAGTCTAAAGTATCACGGCGCAACAAATTTAAGGGATTTTTTGTAAATACTAAATTTGTCGGGACAGAGTGTAATTATTGAATTACACTATGGGATTCCTTAAATTTTTACTTTTAACAATCCATTTCAATTTCAGTCCATCCCCCTCAAACCCAAATCAATTTCCCATGTCCAATTTGTAGGCCCAAACGTTTTCTGTAACAGCCCACTCCATTTTAAACAACCATCCAATCTTCCAACCCATTACCAATTAACCCCAGGCGGCCCATCCTCCTCAACCCAACTCACTAAAACCCATAACCCGACCCAACACCTCACGATCCGACCCGACCCCATAGCCTTTTCTCCTTCCCCTTTCCCCTACGCCATTCCCATAACAGATCCCTCCCAGAAAACGCAGAAAAGCAAACACCACAAAAATGGAAAAGCCAACTTCCCAGACGCGACCCCTTCCCCGCGTCCGTCTCACGCACAGCCTCCCCTCTCTCTTCCTTCCCCGCGCGTCTCCCTCACGTTCTCTCCCTCACGCCCAAGTTCCCCCTCTCTCGCACCTCTCTCTCCTCTCCTCTCTCCTCGCCAGTACGCCTCGCAGCAGACCTGTTTTCGGCTGTGGCAGACCTGTATTCGGCTGTAGCAGACCTGCGTTCGCGGCTATGGCAGACGCGCTAGCCATCCCTTCCCCTTTTTCCGTTTCCGCAAAGGACGAACTTTTTCAGAAAAAGGGGTTGCTCCATTAATGGAAGGGATTTCAAATTTGAAATCAATAGTCACGTTCCCGCCCTCCTAACCCCTAAATCTTCTTCCATATAAACCCCACCCCTCTTCCGAAAAAGGGGTTGGCGATTCTGAGGTTAGAGATTATATCGAAAATTTCAGAGAGTGAGAACTTTTGGGTTTCAGAATTTTAGAAGTTGAAAAGGGTTAGCGATTTTGGTTGAGAAAATTTTTGAAAAAAAAGACTCTGCTTCTTCGGTCTCTTGTTAGAAAAGGGGTTGGAAATTTCAGTTTGAAATTCTTGGGTTTTCTGCTGTTTCTGAGAAAATTAAAGGATTTTTCATCGAAGATTTGATACAATTTTGAGAGAGCATCCTGTTTCCCATTTCCGTTGGTCTTAAAAAAATTCTCAGACGCTGAATCTCGCCTGGCCTTCATTTTCTCTTCCTGTTTTGCCTCCTTCGTCTGAAGTCGAGCTCCGTTCGTGTTCGTGTGGTGGAAGTCGTCGTTCATCTCGCTCGTCGTCCCAAGTTCGCTGCTCCTCAACAGGTAAACACTCTCTCATATAATTTTCTCCTTCTCCCGATCTCACTATGGTGGAGCGAGTGTTGGAAACCCTTTTTTCGTATATGTCTACTGGTTGTTGTGCTGCTGCTGATCGAATCACTGTTTTTTTTTGTTTCTTTCGTTTCGTTTTGGGTTTAAACCTGTTGACATTCGAACGTTAAGTACATGGGTTGTGTAGCTTTACAATATGTTTTGGTTTGGCTGTCTAATCTTCATTTCCATCGAAATAGCGTGTCGAGTTTTGTATGCCTGTAAATACCTTGTTGGTGTCGCTCTCGTTTGTGTGTTTTTTTATTGAGTCCGCGAATTTGTGCTCCCTCGCTGGCTCTTTATGCAGTTTCTGTCGAACAGCATGCTTTTCTCGTTGTTGGTTTAAGAGTGTCTGAAACTCGCATGTGTGATTGATGGTTGGGTTGCTCATGGACTATTGCTACCTTCTAATTAGTATAGGTTCGCATATACATGAATTTCTGTCGTCGCTTCCCTCTCGACGTCCTAGCTTTCATCTCATCATCTCATATAGATGGATGAGCTGAGATGCCGGCATGGAGTTCGTGTTGAGTTTTTCAATTGTATGAATGTCATACAGTGATTGATTTTTCTGCTTGACATTAGCATTGTCATGTATGTAAGTTCAACCTTTCGAAGTTGATTGGAGGAGTCTCATGGTGTAGTTGTGTCTTGTCTTCCTTAGTCTACCTTAGTTTTCTTCATTTCGAAACTTTGTCATTCCGTGAATTCAAATGGTTTTACTAAGTTACTTTATATGTTTCATTTTGTCAAAGTTCTGATAAAGAGTTGCCTCCATTTGCCTGTGAGTGACTCAAATAAAATTTGTTATTATTATTTATCTTATGTATGCAAGTTTGTTTCGTGGAAGCTATAGCATATAGTATAGATCCAATCTGATGCTATTCATGAGTCAGATAGGGGAAAAATATGACAAGTGCCACTCATCTTCTCGTGTTTCCGCTAAAATTCAATTTGTGTATTGGTTTGTCTTACATTCCTTCTTTGCAATTATGTGCTTAATTTACGTTCGTTTTGAATGATTAATTACATAAAAAATGTTTCTTTTTTTGTATTTATTTTAGTTATTTGGTTAAGGTGTCAATTCTCATTTCACTTGTTTTTGTGGCATGCGAAAACTCCTTCGAGTCCGTTTGGGATTCCCTTCTCTCCTTGCATTCCGGAAGAGCCGTAAAGGCTCAATCCTCTATCGAGTCAAGGCAAACGTATGAAGCCAATTTCGGAAAGATTGAAGAAGAATCCAAAGGCGAATTAGAAGATTTTAGTATTGTGTTGTATTTTGTTTGTAATGGGCATAAGCCCTTATTGTTTCACTTTCTTTGTATATTTTTTATATGTCTAGACTAGGACAGGTACGAAAAAGAAATGGGTCAAAACCCAAAAAACAGGTGGGTCCAAAACTCGGTCAAGGCGAACAGAACCCGAGTTTGGACCCGAATCTCTCTCTCCCTCTTTCTCTCTCTCTCTTTACTCTTTGTTTACGTGCTTTTACTTATATGTCGTTAGTCGAGGATTAGAAAACTCCAACCCCATCGAACGTCTTTTGTTTCATCAAACTCAAATTAAAATTTGAAACTTTAAGAGATAGATGTTTAAGTTTGGAAATCGCTTAGAGTTAAAGTTTTAACTTCAATGAGATATTCTAAAAAATTGGAGAATTCGCATAAGAATTTCTAATAAGGTTTTAATAACAAAAAATTGCAAAAGTTAAAACAATAAATAGTCAAATTGTTAATCGCCGGAAAACCGTATTAAGCGGAGTGTCTTAGGTGCCTTACACCTTCCTAAGACACTAATATGAATCCCGAACATAGCTACTTTCGAAACTCCTAAAAAGTCAACAATACCTTTAAAATAAAATAAACTCTTTTTCGAAATAATTTTTCGATAAAACAATATTGAACACTGTACATCACCAAGATGTAGCCACAGGTGATTCATGATACTCTACAGCCTTGAAATTTAGGCTCTTCAGACAACATGGCTTTCATATCTCTCCAGGTAGGTACATACAAATACGAGGATCAAATTATCTAATTTGTTCATGTGATTTGTGACTTTTTTTGTTTTTGTTTTTGTTGTAGATATATTTAATGATTTTAAGGACGTGAATGACAATATGAAGCAAAGTGGTATATTAGCATTTATGAGAGAATGCCAAATGCTAATCCTCTTTTGCTAGAGCTTGCTAAATTAGACTTCAACATTGTTCAAGTAACACACCAACAAGATTTGAAAAGTCTATCAAGGTGAGATATTTTCTAAGTGACAGATTCAGAATAGCCTTAGATTGAATTAAACCCTCCTCAAAACCACTCACTCCTTTCCAATTAGTATTATTTTTATTTTTTATTAAAAATTTGTTACCTCACTCCATCTAACCTCCGCTCCCAAATTATTACTCCCATCATTATAAAAAGAATGACTCTATTTCCTTTTTAGTCTGTTTCAAAAAAAATAACCCTCAACACTTTAACTTTAAACATGTTTATGATCAAAAGATTAAAGGGCATTTTGGTACATTTAACATAAATTTAATTTAGAACCACAAGATTAAAAAGTTTTCTTTCTTTTCTTAAACTTCGTTCCAAATCAAACTAGGTTATCCTTTTTGAAACAAGGAGGGAATATCATATTTTTTACTCTCTTTTTTTTGTGAGATATATACCTATGTTTTTAAGAAAATATTTTTTACATACAAAATATAACAGAAATAAAAATTTAGTATTTTTCTTGAGTTGGTGATACTTTAATCTTTAACTTTTAACTAATATTAATAATTTATTTAATTTTTATCAAAGTGAAATGTTTTTTCTTAAAGTGCCACGTGATAATTTTTTAAAAACAAAAGAGTGTGATACACACACCATCTAAAAGAGTGTAACAAAAGAGAAAGGTGTTTTCTCAAATAAGTGAGTGATAATTTAGGTCTGAAAATGAAAAAAAAATACATAGTTTAAATATGTTTTTGACATTTCACGTCCAAAATAAAAACTTTCAACTAATCTAGAGATGAATGAAACAAAACTTTCAGCTGAAACATTAGTTTTGATGTAAATTAGGTGGTGGAAGAAAACAGGACTAGCAAAAAAGCTTTCATTTTCAAGGGATATACTTGTTGAGAATATGTTTTGGACAGTGGGTGCATTGTTTGAGCCTCAACATAGCTACTTTCGAAGATTGATAACAAAAGTCATTGTTTTTATTTCAATCATAGATGACATTTATGATGTTTATGGCACGCTTGATGAGTTGGAACTCTTCACACTTGCTATTCAAAGGTAATTATAATTTTCTATCGCAAAATAATTACAAAATTTGATTTTCTAGTAAAAATTCAGATGGGATACAAAAGCAATGGACCAAATTCCATACTCTATGAAAGTATGTTATCTTGCACTCATTAATATTATCAATGAAGTTGCGTATGATGTTCTCAAAAATCATGACATCAACTCCTACCCTACCTTACAAAATCAGTAAGATTCATTCTACTTAACAAATAATTTCTTTTCCCAAAATACCCCTGATATTCTCCGAAACGAATTCAATATTTAAATGGCTTGTTAACTAGTGGGCAGATTTGTGCAAATCATACTTACAAGAAGCAAAATGGTAACCACAATGGATACAAGCCAAATCTGGAAGAGTATATGGATAATGCAAGGATCTCAATTGCAGTACCAATGATATTAGTCCATGTATTGGTCCTTGTCACAAATCAAATTACCAAAGAGGCCTTAGAATCCTTAACCAATTATCCTGATATTATTCGATGGTCTACTACTATTTTTCGTTTAAACGATGATTTGGGTACATCCTCGGTAATGCCTTTCTCACGCATAAAATTAAACTTATACTTTATTTTACGAAGAAAAAAAACTCAAGTTAGTGTATCTTATTATGAATAAATAAAACATCTAACAAATTTATTTAATTCCATAATTAATTCAGGATGAATTGAAAAGAGGGGACGTTCCCAAATCAATTCAGTGTTACATAAGCGAAAAGAATGCCTCCGAGAACATATTACATCTTTGATAAAGGAGACATGGGAATTCATGAATACAACTCAGAGGAAAAATTCTCCATTTTCTGAAACATTTATTGGAATTGTTAAAAATATTACAAGAACATCGCATTTCATGTATCTCCAAAGCCTATCATTATTATTATTTAATGTTGCATTCGCTTTCAAGTAATTATTATAATATACCTAGAAAATTGGTCTTATTACACGTGGTTTTGTGTGTTTTCATAAGTCCTAGTATTGCATGGGTTATCAAGTAAAAGTTAAATTTGTAGATGTGCTTCACGTTTTCCTTATTAGAAACTTTTCACCAAACTTGGCCTTGAAAATACCAATGTATTATCAACTTTATCTTTATTAGTCTCAAATTATTTGTTCACTTTATTTGTCTCAAATCGCGAATCTAGAAACAAATTAGAATAAATATTTTAGTAATAATAATTTTGAGAATTATTATTTGTAAAACACTTGTGTTATAAAAAGGCTAATTAATGGTGTACTTATATTCCACTTAACACGTTTTTATGGATCCTCCATTTCACCAGTTTTTTCATTCAAATGGCAACTTGGAGCTATTATTCAATCAAATTAATGGTAGGTGAGGTGTTCTGATGGAACAGTAATTTTAATTTTAATTATTCATTTCATCAAATATCAGAAACAGTAATTTTAATTTTAATTATTCATTTCATCAAATAGCATACTTTGCCGACGGGTTAGCCACTAATATGGCCCATTATAATTGTATTTGACAAGCAAAAAAATATTAAAAATTAGATATGATGAGATGGTGGTTATACGGAGATATATAAATAATATTCATAAAATCAGATTCGGGATTCTGACATATCTATAGTTTTGAATTATGTATTATTTTAGGTGACACTCTTTTCTTTATAGACCGTCATTAAAAGAATGTCACTCACCATACTATATTAGAACCAATTTTACTCTTACTGAAATGAATCTCAACCACACAAATATCTAAGATTATTTTAGACCATAAATTTCAAAAATCTTCATTTTTCTCTTAATCGTCATGTCAAATCAAAGAGTATCACATAAAATAAGATAGAGGAAACATTAATTTTTTAAAAATAAAACGGCTAACAAGTGGAATGGAGCTATAGTCTATATATATCGGATAATGCAAATCTATCAAAAAGAAATAATAACTGAAGTCGATCTGCTGTTTAATTATTTGTATAGTCACGTGAAACATAAGTATTATGGATGTATAAACTGGAAATGACAATGTCTATTAGCAAATCAAATTTAATTTCGAAATTAGAGGTTCCAAAATCCTGCATTTCTAACGTGCCAATTCGACGATCTGGAAACTATCAACCTTCTATTTGGGACTATAATCATATTCAATCACTGAAGAATCATTATTCAGTAACCATTTCTCTCTAGCAGCTTATATATTAACTGTATTCACAAAATCTTTTATTTTATTTGTGTAACCCTAATCTATATATGTAGGACGAGAAATTCATGAGACGCCGCAATGAGCTGAAGATGGAAGTGAAGATTATGCTCAGTGATCGTAACATGAAGCAATTGGAACAGTTGGAGATTATTGATAATTTGCAAAGGCTTGGATTGTCTTATCACTTTGAAGATGAAATATACAGTATTTTGAATAACTTAAGTGACAAAGGTAGCAAAAGAGATCACTTGTATGCTAAAGCTCTTGAATTCAGGCTCTTGAGACAACATGGATTTAACATTGTTTCACAAGGTCCTTTATCGTATCGACTAGTTTTCTCCCTTATTTCTATTCTATTTCTTTTACTATATCCATCTAAGTATCTTTCGGTATGACTAATTCAAATTTACACTTTGATCATTTGCACCGTATGCATGTTACCTTACTTTTTGCATTCCAAGGCTCGAATCATATGATACAAATTAATAAAATCTTGTTCTGGTTGCAGAAACTTTTGGTGGTTTCTATGATAATACAACTGGTTTTGGTGAAATTCATCATAATGAAGACACAAAGGGGATGTTATATTTGTATGAAGCTTCATTTCTTGCCATAGAAGGTGAAAAAGAATTGGAGTTGGCAAGAAATTTGACAGAAGAACACCTAAGAGAATATTTGGCTGATCAAAATAAAAATGATGTGGATCAAAATTTGGTTGAATTAGTGCACCATGCCTTGGAGCTTCCATTGCATTGGAGGATGTTGAGATTAGAAACCAAATGGTTTATCAATTATTACAAGAAAAGACAAGACAAGATGATCCCTTTTTTGCTTGAACTTGCTACCCTTGATTTCAACATTGTTCAAGCAGCTCACATTGAAGATCTAAAATATGTGGCAAGGTAATTAAACTCCACTGAACCCAAGTTCTAGTTTTCATGCATTCTTAATATAAGTAATACTTTTCTATCGTTTTAAAATATCCGAATAATACCTAATTATATTTATCGTAGTCAAATGTGGATTCCACTGACTGTGCATTAGTATATATAGAGTCTTAACATTCGTTAGCTCCATAAACTTGCTTTTTCATTATCACATTTAAATTCATTTCATAATCAAATTAATAGGTGGTGGAAAGAAACATGCTTAGCAGAGAATCTGCCATTTGCTAGAGATAGGTTGGTGGAGAATTTCTTTTGGACAATTGGAGTAAATTTTCTTCCTCAATATGGATACTTCAGAAGAATTGCCACAAAAGTTAATGCTTTAGTAACCACAATAGATGATGTGTATGATGTTTTTGGTACTCTGGATGAACTACAAATATTCACACATGCCATCGAAAGGTAATTAACAATGTCAAAATTTGTTCGAGCATAATTAATTTCTATCTAATTTTAATTTCTTGCCATGAGAATACCAGATGGAGTATCGACGAATTGGATAGACTCCCAGACAATATGAAGATGTGTTATTATGCGCTCGATAACTTTATTAACCAATTGGCTGATGATGCTTTTGAAGAGCAAGGCATTTTCATTTCACCATATCTAAGAAATTCGGTAACTTATCCCTTCTTCTTTTTTTATTTCGAAAATAAGACAAATTATTATCATGTCTGCAAGTCTAACTCGATAGGTAGTATTACATTGTGAATTTAAATTTCAGTGGAGAGATTTGTGCAAATCATACCTGAGAGAAGCAAAGTGGTACCATAGCCAGTATATCCCAAGTATGGAAGAATATATGGACAACGCCTGGATTTCAATATCAGCTCCAGTAATATTAGTACATGCATATTTCCTCGTTGCCAACCCTGTAAACAAGGAGGCATTGCATTACTTGGAGAATAATTACCATGATATCATTCGTTGCTCAGCGTTAATTTTGAGGCTCGCCAATGATTTAGGAACATCATCGGTATAATTCAACTTGTTATAAAAGGTTATCTGCCTAATTATTTTTATTTACCAACACTAGTATTTCCTTTGTGTAATGCAGGACGAGTTGAAAAGGGGTGACGTACCAAAATCAATACAATGTTACATGAACGAAACACAAGCTTCAGAAGAAGAGGCTAGACAATACATCAGACTGCTGATTAGCCAGACATGGAAGAAATTGAACGAAGCTCATTGGCTAGCAGCAGACCCCTTCCCAAAGATATTTGTTACGTGTGCTATGAACCTAGCAAGAATGGCACAATGCATGTATCAGCATGGTGATGGCCATGGCGGTAATAACTCCACGACTAAAAACCACATCATGGCGTTGCTCTTTGAATCCGTTCCTCTAGGACACAAACATTCTTCAGCAGAAAAAGAGGACCACTCTATGGTCAACTATAGAGAGAAATTCATGATCTAGGGGTCATTGAGTTGTGAATGAACTTTCACCTTGTTTGTAAGGTTTTGATTCCCCACCCTGCAATTTCCTCCCCATTTATAGAAGGGGCAGGGGGGAAGAGAGAAGGCTCAGTGGGTGCAGTATGCATAGTACACAATGCATTATCAAAACTGCATATGATTTGGCAGTTGATTCATAGCTATATAATCAATCACAGTGCCCTTTTTTGGGATCTGATAGCCTCAAGTTACTCGCCTCTTTCTGAAAGAAAGAAGAAACTTTACAAGGTTCCTTTATCAGAACTAAGGGAAGTTTGAACGTCTGACAGATCTCATTTCAGAGTATGGTCCAGAAGGAAAATTACAGCTCGCCAACAAATAACCTTTTTGAATTTTCAGTCATATTCTAATTTTGAATCATAGTGGACGATATGTCTTCCCACTATCAATAATATTGTACGTAATAGGATAGGAAACCTATCTATTCATCAAGTTCAAAGTGTCAATATCCATACAACAATAACATCCAAAAAAATGGACGATGATCCTTTAATAAGAACAGATATGGATGAATCGATATGGGACTTGTGCCATATTCTTGACTACTAGTGCAACTGATGTCCCAATAATTACCTTTATTTGTGTGCTGGGGACTGCTAAATCGTCATTGTGCATCACTTTTGGATGAACCTGGTTCTTTTGAGAATTTGCGCCATTGTTCTTTGTTCTTTTCAACTGAAGCAGAATTCTTAACAAACTCGGAGAGTCCTTGCCTCAAAGCCCCTAAATTTACCCCTTTGCCCACCAATATACTTGTGACACCCATTTTTGAAACCTGAAAGATACTGCTTTAGCTTACTATGTGTATCTCTAGGATTTGCATGTAGCAATTATTTGATCTAGACCGACGAGCGATGTAATTAATTGAATCGACTGAATGCATGATACAATTGACAAAAAGTGATTTTACCGCCTGTATGTTCCGATTTTCATCATCAAAAAACAGCATCTCATTGTAGGGCACCGTAGTCTTTCGGTTGATTTTCTGAAAGTGTTCCGTCTTGTGTGTCCAACTGGAGAATATCTCCTGCAACACTAAGTCATTAGCATGATGACCTCACACAGTAAGCAGCATCAGCTAAAAATGAATATAGAGAGCCCAGTCATGAAAGTGAGCATTTTACACAGCTTGTTTGGATGGTTACCTATTTATTGTATCATATTATTAATTCAAATACAATATTTGTTTTGATTATTACTTAAATTTTAGTGTATCCTATTGTTAAATTTGTCGTTGTGTAACGATGAAAGGTTATCATTTTATGCAACAGTCCATTTGGTGTGATCAGTTTGTTCTCATCTTGCCCTTATTACTTAACCACCTGATTTTACCCTTTATCCTAATTTATTTTTTTAATAATTCCATCCGAAACCTTTTCTTTGGTAATATTATTAGCATATTCTTTAGGTTGTTGCTGCCAGGAAATGTGAAATAACAGAAACAATACAATATAAGAATTTCCTAAGAGGTTCCTACAGTGATGAACTTTGTCTCGATACCTTTGAGCTATCCTAATTCTTGAGGTCGCTAAGAAGTGGCTAAAAGAAGATACCTTGACGACTCAGTTGATATAGGTAAGTGGCCCACAAGTGAGTAAGTTGACAAGGAAAGTAGAGAGAATATCAATTGATACGGAGTGTTGATAATAGATAAAGATAAACGCTCTTTATGACCAACTAGTTTTAGACAAGTGCTGGTTTACCTGCTATGTTGCTCAGACTCTTTTGAAAAATATTGTCGCACATATGTCGGGTTCTCCTAAATTCACTACTTTGGGAGTATCTTACATGCACCCGTCACATTTTTGAAAAGTCCGAGAAACATGTTTACGAGCCTAGATACTTGGGTGCCTCCTTTGAATTTAGTGCCAATCATAAGGTGGAAATGAATCCTATGCTTGTTGCTAGATAGTCATTCCGGCCAAGACACCTCAGTCTGAATTTCTTTTCCTTTTGATATGTGAGAAGAACGTCACCTTGATTACTTCTCAGGAAAAAATAAATATTATATGTGGAGCCAAGATGTTGATGCCGATTCTAAAGCTAAAAAGGAAATTTACTTCTTCGAGTTTATTCAGCAATAGCTGAATACGGACACAACTTCAAGTAAGTGGGTCAAGTGCGAAACAAAGAAGGTATTATTTGACTTAACAATATTTAAAGAGGTTAAGTTTTTCCACCAACAGTGAAGTTAAATACTTAAGCTCTCCTAGTCCCAAAATCCAAGATAAACTAAATTTGTCTCAAGTACATTCCCAGATCTATATAGGAGGTGATTAGAAAACCAACTAAACCACCAAGACGGAAAGACCAGCCAATTTGACTAGAATGTGGCCTGCAAATAATTTATGGACCACACAAATCTGAAGATGCCTTCTGAGTCTGGTTTGCCTAGAAAATGTTTAATAAACTAAGTTGGACTGTAGAAATCAGAACAATTAGTAAATAATTTACATATATGCAGGGCCAATCTGAAAAGTGAAATTGGCATGAAATACTTGCTATGTCGAAACCTTTCTGAGAAAAGGGAACAAGAAACTCTATTTAGGATAAACTAAAGACTAGCTAACAAAAAGCCCTGAATCAAACTGCAACAGTTTGTTCAAGTTATATAGAAGCCTTTTTGCTTTTTTACTTTACATTTTTGGTCATGAAGGGCTTTTTAAAAGTATTCATTCATTTCTATGCGACATTAAACTCTTCATCCCATATCATATGGATAACATAGTTATGGACCTATTTTTGTCTCTCTACTCCAGCATACTGTCCAACTCCTCAACCATGAAAAGCATGGTTGCAACAAAGTCAGCTACTAAGAAAGAGGCACAGAGCTAAATGTGCAGCAGAATTTACTAATATCAATAAAATTTGCAGGTTACCATAGAACCAAAGGAAAAATAAAACAAGATGCTGAGACTTCTATCATCTCACCTGGGCTACAAACATTGATTTTATCTCCAGTTTTTGAAGGAAAGCATTTGCTATATCTGGAGTTGGCGATCTTGAGGCAATAGCAACATTCACTCCTTTGTCTTTGAAGGCATGCAAGATACCTTTGGCCTGAGGATACATCGATGGCTTCTCATTTTTGGAGCGGCATTCACTGAAAGAATCAAAGTAGACAGAAATGGTATTATGAGTAAACCAAGAGTACAAGACCAAGTTTAAGCAAATAATAAGGTCTCTTTTTTTTTGGATAGATAATAAGGGTGTTGAAAATATAGGAGCAGTCACTTCCAGTTGTAGCAAGCATGTTAATACAGAGACAAGAAACATAGAATTCAATCAACTCATACATCCCTGGCTTTAGAAAATCATGACATAGTATGCTGGTTTCCTAAAGTAGCGCTCTACTTAGTATTAACTCAATCAAAATACAAAGTGTACCTATAAAAGCCATAAACCCGCGGTGGATCTAGAATTACATTTAACAGGTTCAACTTGAACTCATTGTAATATTAAATTATTTATTCAGGTCTAAGATTTGTTAAGATGTTTATCATATATATTTTTATATTCTGTCTTGAAAGTAAAGGGTTCCGATGATCCTATTGACGAGAGGCTACGTCCTCCCCTGGACATAGCCCTCCTCATTCCCCCGGGGTTGGATGTAGAGTGTTCATCCGAACCTAATAGCTTTGATAGGAACTCTGTCTATGTGCTAAGAATTTCCTACATATAGTAACCAGTTGATCAAACGAACTTGTAATAGACTCCCATAGAGTTGAAAACTCAATCGTGCTAGCAGAATAAGAAATCAATTACTCAATATCAATCCCTTTTCGCCCAAAAGAGAACACAAAATAAAAAAGAAAGAAAAGAAGTTCCAACACAGCGACAGGGAAAGCAAGTCAATTACTCAGAAAAAGAAAAGAAGAGTCAAAATTGGGCATCAGTTCAAATCCAGGAAGAAGAGAGAGAGAGAGAGAGATACCAATAAAAGGGCCAAAGGGTATAATCAAGATCGAAGACGACGAGACGAGGAAGAACTTGGAACAATCCCATTATCTCCATTGCTTCATTCTTCACCTTTTCGTCTCCCATCTCTCTTTACCGCGTCCACGCTTTCCCTGCCGCCAACACCCCTCTTCTATTATCTATATATACCCACTAATCACTATTGCATATTTTCTTGCGTACGAGGGTATTCTTGTCTATACATTTTTCGTATTTTCATTAATTTAAAATCAAAGTGTACAAATAGATAAATATATCTTGATGGAACAAATGTGAGTAACACATCACAATTCTTTATTAATACTAAAAAAAAACTTAAAATATACTAGTAATCACAGGTTTAAGAAAAAAATATGTTCGACTTCGGAAAATTAAGCCTGCCATCTAATTGGACTTTTAAAAGTGACTTTTCTACACTTAATTATTTGGAGACGACATCTGAATGTTGCCAAAATTTACACATTGGGAACTGGTTCCATTATATACCATCTAAGGTCAGCTTGATAGGAAATAGAAATTCAGGTACCAAATCAAACACCATTGAAAAAATGGTTTTGTAAAGGCTACAGAATAATACGTCCTGCTCACACACAAATACGATACGAGGCATGTGGAATGAAGGAATAGAGGAACACCTGGTTTAGTACGATATATCTGTTGCTAGGAAAATGGTCTATGTAACTGTACATATTTGCAATACATCTAGTGAAAATTTTCAATCTCACATAGGTAAAAAGGCAGGTAAAACACATGAACATCAAGTTCGCTCATTTGAGCTTTCCTTTCCAAGTTTTCTCCTCAATTTCGACAGTGATTTGCCATAGCCATAAATGCCAGCTCTATTTCTCAAGCCCTCTCCTGTATCAACAGAGCTTCAAGCCATAGCCATAAATGCCAGCTCTATTTCTCAAGCCCTCTCCTGTATCAACAGAGCTTCAAGCTCTTCTCTACGACGCTCCAAATCCTGAAATTATAATCATTAATATGTTTTCAGGAATAGTCAGAAGGAGATAAACAGATGAGTCAAAGTCATCCACGATGGAAATAGGAGCAGGTCAAGAAACAATAGTTTGAAATTCATACTCAAATGATGCAACTGGAGTTGTGAAAGGGGAAATGGGGGAGAACAGATATTTTTTTTTCCTGCAAGTCTTTAGGGATTAGCATATCCGAATATATGGAAGGCAGGTATTAAGGGTTTACTACCATTATTTAAAAAATGAGAAGCATAACCAAAAACATTGTAATTCTCATGTAATAGACTTTGGAAAACAACTTTTCACAATGTAATTATGCTATAAACTGAATGACATCAAATAAGCAAAGAAACGAGATTGCTCCCTTGGGGTAGTTGGAGGCGCAGGGACATGGACAGGAGACTTCCAGAGAGGGCAGGGGGTGGAGACATGTAACCCCTGCTATTGAGTATCACTTATTCAAAACGTTCTGCAGAAATACTAGTGCCTAATTATGTCCTATGAGTTATGACAGAGAGATGAGCCCCGTTTCCAGCTAAAATGCATGCAAGTTTAACTACACATGCTTTGCTCAGGAATACATGCCATATTAGATGTCCTTTTAATTATTACTAATCATTAATTTTTTCTAATGTAAAGTCTAAGAGTACACTATAACCTTGGTCGAGAAGAGGAGACATAAGTGGTTGAGGTGTAGGAGCAACAACCTGCAGATCCCAAGTCTGAATCTCCACTAAAACAATTTCACCTAGCTTGGACACCACTGCTAATTTCTTTATTATTTTTAAAGGATATTATCACCTACTGGCTTAACCAGAATGTAATTAGAAAGATTTCTGAAAACCTTTCATCTCCAATATCACTGTCCAAAAAGGCTTTCCAGGAATCCCTGGATCCATATCTCCCCTCTTGAACAAATAATTTGCCTCTGATTCAAACCAAAATGGAATGTGCAACACTATCACCTCACTTGGACACCAGATTCATTAAAAAATAGCACCTACTGGCTGAACCAGCATTTGTTTAGATACAATTCCAAAAACTCTTTATCTGCAATATTATTTACCTAGAAGTTCGTCCAGGAATCCCTGAAACCAAAAATCTCCTCTCTTGCACAAATAGTTGCCTCTGATTTCAATAAAATGTAATGTCTGTCTAACTACCCACATTCTATGCTACTTTTCTTTGCCCAAATTATCAAAGTTACAATGACAACCAGCCACCAAGGAATGAGATAAACACATATCGACAACAGTAAAAAAATTATACAACCCAACTGCTTAATGTGAACACGTTTGACTTTTTGAAGTCTTGTCGTTTTAGCTATGCCTTGCTGTCTCTCATACCAATTATTGAGAGGTACTCTTGCAAAGTACAGCTTGTGAATCGAAATTTAATGGTAGAGTATGGCCCAGTTATAGTTGCTAGTTATATCACAACAGGTGATATTTGCAAAATTGGCTATAAGCATGCACCATTTTAATTTTTTACAACAGAAAACCTCTGAACCAAATCTACTTTCATCCAGTTGTAAGCTTAATCTAGATATGGACCTGACAAGAAGGTTATGAAACTCGAGTTCTCTGTCCACCTTTTCTCTTTTCATATCGTCTCTAACAGAGAGTAATGTTAGGGTTTTAAGCTTAATAATTCAGAAGGTTGGATGGTACATACTGTTTGGAGATGTGAGTGGAAGCAGCAGTAAACCAGAGTACCAGAGAAGACACAGAAAAACAAGAACAGATTTAGAGAGTGAGACCCGTGTAAGGCCTGGAGAAGCATCACATATCTAACTCTTCCTCTGGTTTTCAGCTCAAGGTTTGCTTCCAACAGGACAAGCATGTAATAAGATATCATGGATTACCTGAAGATCGTTAATTGCTTGCTCCCTGGATATTTCTTTTGCCTGACGAGCACGTTTGATAAATCCAAAGCACAACAATCCCTACAAGTAACATATGTCAAGAAAAAAACAAAGTTAAAGTCTATTGTACCATATGGTACCCCAAAAATACTCAACAAGATGGATCTTAGTAGCATGTGTGCAGTCAGAAGCAAGCCCTCGTGCTCAAATACAAGAAAAAGGAAGTTCAAAAGAATGGCACAGAATGCAGGCAATCAAACTACAGGCTGTAATCTTTAGCAGCACTCTGTATATCATGGAGACCTAGTAAACACGCTTAAGATTTACATGGTCATGCAAACAAATGATGTTTAAGACCATCTAGCATAACTTCTGATAGCCTAATTGACAGGTGCCCACTGCTTGCATTCTTGGAAGGAATTCTCCTGTCTTAAAGTCAAAGGCTATCTGTTATAAATATTCATATTTACTGCCTCCACGAGAGGTGGGAGGGGACCAAGAGAAGCAAGGCCACACATCATACTCTTCAGGATTGTGTCATACCATATACAAGCTACAACAGCATGGACCCTGACAGACAAATGATTGTCATGTAGCAACCTGATGGTTTCCTGAACTTACTGATATTATGTAAATTGCACCACAGGTAAGAAGAAAGTAGCTAGCTATGTTCCGGAGAAGGATGAGGTCATTCCTTTGCCCATAATCTTCAGGATAAGCTCTGGTCATCACTGCAACACTAGAAAAAACCAGAAAGAGGAGAGTCAGTTCCCCCCCCTAAAAACTAACTATTTTGTTAAGTCTGATTTTAACTAGCTCAGCAAGCCAAAAGTTTTGCTTACAAGATCTGTAGCATGCCCCTTCCAGCTGAAAACTCCAACACCTACTCAAAAGTCATTGAAATTTGGCATCAGTTTATTGGGATTTATTTATTGTCAAAGGTATCGGGTCAAAATGAGCAAACGACCAGAAAGCACATAATAATAATACTGCATACAACATAGAAGGATATTATTCTTAATGTTTAGCCCCTAAGAAAAAGTGGAACCTTTCCAGTTGTTCTATGAGAAGAAAAACTGCTGGAACACTAAAATAATTAAGCTATATCTGGATTAATTAGCTTTAATACGAGACTATAAAGGTTAATGATGAAACTGATGATGAAAAGAGTATAGAAGAAGACAAAAATGGCATAATATGGGGGATGCTTCTGAGTATGAGTTTGAGCATTAAAGGGACAGAAACTGAAAGGAGGAAAACACCTCTTTTGCTGCAGCAGACAAACAATTGCATCATAACAAACTGCTAATTACTGGTCAACCGAGGATATTTTTCACATGGTTTGTTCATTCTAGTGCTCCTTATTTTTATTCCATGTTTTCCCTAAATATTAAACATTAATATTGTTCAAATATCTATCTAAATGAATGATAGTATAGTATGACATTTCCAATATTATATAGCCTAAAAGACCAAATTGGTTCATCCTTAAACTCCCGAATCTCTAAGTGTTGCATGTCGTTTAGACTTCTTAGCTATGTTTCTCTGTGTTAGATAAACTTGGCATTCTTGCTTAATAACTCCAGTCAAACCATAAACTCGACTTTACCCCAAGAATATTATCAATCTAACTTTTTGTTTTTGATAGGTCGTAACATCGATCTAATCTTTGAGCCCTATGCCCTCCTTTTGAGTGTTTGGGTTCATGACTATGTTGAATCAAGGGAAACAATTTGTATGTTCCAGTCCAAAAGTTAGTATACGGAAAGTAAGCTTGACGATCTGGCAAAAAGACACATTATAATTTTCTATACAGATGGGTTAGCTCTATTGCCGAATGGGAGACTGAGCTTCTGAAGAGGTAAGAGACAGAAGAAACTGGATTACGGAAAACAGAATGATCACTTATGACAAGTTCATGAACAAATTAAGACAAAATAATCTCCTCGTTAGTCACAAATCATCCTAACAACACAACATGGCTCGCAAATCTTCCAACCTTCGGAGGAGAAGAGCAGACAGAAACTACTTATGCTCACTGTATAAGTCTTTTTTCCTTTATTCTTTTTGTAAGCATTGGTATTGCCAATAGCATTTGCCAGTAGCCCCTTCATTTTTGGGTGGCTCCCTACTATTACTATATGATGTCACTCAATTGTTTGTGTTGTTAAATCTGCAAAGAGTGATGTTACAAAACTACATTTACATTATCATCAATCGAATCATTACTGCTTGATTTTGTTAATAAAGCAGAACCAAATGCAAACACATACTAGTATTGGCATTGAAATTTGAACAGTTCCAATTACAACGCCTCATTAATAAAAATGCCAGCAAATAACAGAAGGAAAACTAAGACTTCACAACTCACCTTCCAGAACTTGATGAAAAATCCCCATTCAGTCTCCGCAACAACCACAATAACCGCAATCACTACAGCATAACACCGGAAAATTCCATCGAATACCTAGAAAATTTTGCATCAAAACAACAATAAGGTCCGAGTATCGCACTTACAGAGACAGATTAGCACAAATACATGGCAGTAGAGGAAGGGCTTACGTCATATCCATGCTTAAAGGATCGGACAGCAGAATAGACATTAACAACAATGCAGAGAATAGCAACAAGTGCAGTAACGAAGCTGAACACTCTACAAGTCACCAGGAAGGGGTCGGATCCGGTTCGGACTCTATTGGGTGAAATTGAACGACCATTGTTAACCCTCTGCGACTGGGAGCTCACTATTCCTTCGCCATCTCTCTCCATCTTCTTTCAATTTCTTCAATTGAACTTCAAATTGAAAGAGTTTCTCTGGATTTATTAATGGAATTCCATTTTCCTTTACTTCGTGCGCACTCGCGAATGAGAATATCGGCGGAGGATTTCAGGAGGTTTTGAATCTCTGCTCTCCAGGTTCTTCATCTGCTTGTCAAATATTCGTTCATGACTGACACGTGTCTGTCTTACATGGATGGAAATTAAAGTTAGTTTTTCTTTTTTTTAAAAAAAAATTAGACAAAATGTGATCAGAATTTCTTTCACAAAATACCCAGTTATTGCTCTACCTCCGCCCCGAGTAGTTATTATAGTTAATGACCCGAAAGAAGTCACTAGCGCTTCTTGCTATTAATCGTGTTTTAGTCTTAGTTTATAAGAAAACTTTGTCGTACTTAGAAAATGATGATTTTAAAATAGGTGTCAAGCTGAAAAAAGACAGAGAATTTTGAAATTCAAAAAAAGAAAGCATTGCTCCTTTGTTCACTTTTTCTAACATTTTTAGTATCAACTAATTCATTCGGCGAGACATCTTACAATATCATGATACGCCCATTCCTATGGCTAAGAATGTCCATTAAAAGGAGCGGACCGATGGAGTCATTTTTCAAGCACCTCCTGACACAGAAAAGACTGATGTTATGGTTAGCAATCAAATCTGGAATCTCCGACAAAGTATCTGAGATCGGACTTTGATTGGTCTTTTTTTTTCTTGAAACACATTTATTAATAAAATAATAATTTACATGCTAAGTTTATTTACTTTACATTTATTAATCATAAAATTAATAATTAAAAAATTGAGATTTTAAAAAAAAAAAAAAAATTAAAAGTAATTAATTGAAGATATTATAATAAAAAGAATTGTCATTAATTAATTTGTCAAAATGGACAAATAATTAGGGATAACAAAATGAAAAGTAGACAGTAATTAAGAACTGATGGAGGGAGTATTACTCTTCTTTTTTTAGTAGTCATAGATTTTTTTAGAGTGAAACTACATAAATTTTAACAATCATTTAAAGATGTACATTTTTATTATATTAATTTTTTTTAAAAAGTTGTGATTTATGATATTTTCTGTATAATTTTAAAATATTAAATTAATGTAATTTAATTTAATTTAAAAGATCCATCAAATCAACTTATAAAAATATAACATAAGGAATAATTAAAAGAACGAAAAAAATAATCAATAGTCCTTTCGTCACTTTTTCCAATGATATGCATTTTTCTTCCTTCGTTGGGCTTCTCTTATAGCCATTACTGACTTCTTTTGATTTTGAGAAACTATCTGTTCATTTATATTTGAAATTTTAATTATATCCCTAAATATTTTATCTGTTTATATAATAGACACTTAAGTGTTGATCTATTATAGAAGGTGAACACCTTTTTTAGACACTTAAGTGTTAGATCTATTATAGCCATATATTTTGACAAAAAAAAGTGTATTTCTTCGATTGCTATCTTCATCAAGTTAAATAAATTATTGTTCATTCTTCTCCGTCACTAACAGTTGTTTCTTCTTTAAAAAAATTATGATTTTATTTCAATTTAAAGTAGGTTTTAGTTATTTATGTTCATTTCTACTTTAAATTTTAAAATCAAATAATTTGTAATATGTCCAATTTTTTATTTTGGGTCTCTAATATAAAATTTAAATTTTCTTAAAATTCGTTAAAAATGACAAATTAATAAAAATTTGAATAAGTTTTGTATGAATGAATACACAAAAAAAAATTTCAATCATCATCAAAAATGCTTTGATTCAAATGGAGAAAATATGATGACAAGATTCTTTTATGGTTTCTTACGTTTTTAGGAGGGAAATGACAAAAAAATAAGAATTGGGAGTTGAAGTAAGTAGAAACCTATGCATGCAAACACGCGAAACTGTTTATTTGATTTATGTGGACCGGACAACACTCAATCGTGTAGTAAACAGACAAACAAAATGTGTAGGAATCATGATATAGGTTGGGGAAGGGGGTTAGACCATTTTTTCTTTGATCTTCTTGCATTATTTTCTTATCAATTAACGTTTAAATCATTTTTAAAAGCTTAAATTTTAAATCATTTTTGAATTAGTTATATATATATATATATATAAAACTCAAAACATCTAGAGGAACTTATTATTTTTGATTACTTAGACATGATTTTGAATTGGTCAGAATTCAAATATTACATTAATTATTAATATTTTTGTTAGGACCAGAAATAAGCAGGCGTAAACGCGAAAGTTAGCAAAACAAATCTTAAAAGATCACGAATAAGAAGACAACGAAAAATATATCAAAAAACACAAAGATTTAACGTGGTTCGATCAATCGGTCTACGTACACAAAGGAGATGAGCAATCCACTATAAATATGAGAGTACAAAATACAAAAAGAAAACAATTTCAACCAATTCACTCGGAATACATGGGAGGTTCACACAAGTGATAACATATCAAGCTTGTGACCCATAAATTCTCCCCTAACCAAAACTCTCAAAGTCCTTAAGACTACATTGTAAATGCTGATTAAGTTAGAATGATTATAGATATTAAACCTTTTTTCTACAAGAAAAAGATTAGTCAATCCAAAACCTATTCCTAAAAGTAAAACCTATTTATGGTAAGAAATTTAGGGTAAATAAAATGTAACAATTTTTTTTTTATATAATATCGATATATATGTACTATTTATACAATATGAGATCCATTACATATACATATTGCTATTGTATTTGAAAATCTTTTTGAATGTCCATACGTATTGACAATTAATCTTCCCATTAATTTTTTTAATATTGTTTACGAATAATAAATTTTTTTTTGATAAATTAAATATATAAATTATAATAATTTTCGAAATATAAAAAATAAATAAAAAAATATATTATGTATCTAAATAAAATTTTACCCATCTACAATCTATTTTGTACAATATTACTTCCCTAGCCAGTAATAAGCTGGCGGATGATGTGTTAAATATCTAAAGAAGCTATGTTTTGGTAAATATATATATGGGTGGCAGTGGTAGTGTGTATTAGTGCAATTGGCTTTGTCCAACGTTTGAAAAAAATCAACATCCTTATCCCTTTTTATTTCCTATTCATCACTCTCTTTTTTTTAATTTTCTTTACCAATTCTTGTTTTTCTTTCTATCTTCTTCTTCTTCTATCGCAAATTCACTGAGTACTATTTCTTTGGATATTATTAAATCAAGAGACAACGCTGTTATTCTCTTTTTCATGGCGTCGATTACTCCCCCGCCGACATTTGATGTAAACACTCACAAATTCAACTTCTCAAACCCTAAATTCACTTCCCGATTAAAGCGTTCATCTTCGTCTTTCACTCTTTCAACCTCTCATTTACTATCTAGGGTTTCCGGTTCCGCTTTCTGTTGTCGTTGCAGGAATGGTACCGGTGATGGTGAGACTGTTGAGCCATCGCCATCTGTTTCTTCTCAGAATAGCTCATCTTCTTCTTCTTCTTGGAGATGGGATTTGGCGTTTCAAGATGCGGTCAAGAATGCGATGAAAAAGTTGGATGATTATGTGAATTGGTCAAAAGGAGTGGGACTTGATGAGAGGAAGAGTGAAATTGGTGTTGATGATCAAGAATGGGATTGGGAACGATGGAAAAAGCATTTTAGTGAGGTTGAGGAGGAAGAACGGTTGGTTTCTGTTTTAAAGGTACAATTTCTGTTTAGATTAGTTTGCATGTTACTCTGTGAAAGTTAACATTGATTTTGCATGTGTTTTAGAGGGAGTCTGATGAAGGTTTAGATTTGTTGTCTATGAGAATTTTATTAAGATGTGGCAGATGGTGAACTGTATTTAATGTGCATGTTTGTAGTGGTGGCGATTCCGGTCTGTAGTTAGATACATTCATGCTACATGACCTTATTTTGACCATGTTTCAACAATTAACATCAAAGGTCCATTATTAGGCATGTTTTTATTTGGATTGGCGAAGTTCAAACTATTCGTTGATGATATTGGTGATTGTAAAGGTGACACTTTTAAACCTTTCAGGGTCTATCAGACTGAAGCACATGTGATATTTCATAGTCTACATGATGCAATGAGCGGTGTCATCCACATATACTCAAGACGAGTGTTGTAAAAATGTGGATGTTACAATGAATATCCGATCATGCACTACTAGATTAGAAACCTTAAGAGGGTAAAAAATAGCACAATAGAATATAAGATGAGAGATAGTTGCTTGGTATAGTTTTGTCATGTCCTACTAGACTTCCATATGCATCAGTCCTTAGGTTACAGTATGATGATTAAACTTGGTAAAAATGGAGCGAAGTAAACCTAAAAAACATATTGATGGAGGTTGCACATCTGGGTTGGTAGGACATTATGAAGTAAATTGTATACATAGACCCAAGGTGTTGCCTAATGGTCAATGAAGTGGGAAAGAACCGTGAGAAGGTCTAGGATTCAGAATCCAGCCAATGAATAGATATGAATGATAACGTATTGGGATTAAGGCTTAGTTGTTATTGTATACTTATATCAGGTCTCCTGTCTGCCAGGAGTTCGGTTAGACTCTTATATTTCAGTATAAACTACAAAGATAAGTTGAGATTTATAGAAGCTTAATTTAGCTGGCAGAATATTTCTATTTAGCTTGTAATGTTGGCAAATTGTTGGAGCTGTTCCCATCTTTTGTATCCTCTTAGCCTCTTCTAGATGCCTCTTAATGAAACTTCTTGCTTCATTAATTTTGTTTCGCTTAGGAACAAAATTATTTAGTATTGAAATGACATATGAGTCCCAAGTAAAGCGAAATGGATATACAGGATTCATAAGTCTGATACCAATTGATTGAGGTGTAGATTGTGATCACCTGTGAGGAATAGCTGAAAGGGCCATCAGAAGTTCTTTGAGAATAAAAAATGGTCCTTGAGGTGAATACCATCTCAAATAGGGTTCTTGGTAATTTACTGAGCATTTTTGTTAGGTTTTGGTTAGTTTGTAATTTTCTTAACTTGTTTGGACATTCTGCTAGAGGCCTTTATTAGATCACAAACACAAACATTTATGCTCAATCAGAGTATTTTATATTTTTGCTGTTTTAATGGAGCTGTTATTTCACCAGGCACAGTTGGCTCATGCTATTAG